CATCTCTTCACCCGGATCCTGCTTAGGATCCTTTAGGCCAGACGTCAAGGGCTCCTCATGGTCCGGCTCAGATCGTCCACGTCGAGCCTTTCGCTCTTCCAAAATAGTCGGATCGAACTCCGAATAGAAGAACCTATTAAGGAATTCTTCTTTCCTAAGAAAGCGCCGGAAATGCAACCTCAACAAGCCGGTCATACTAGATCCTAGAAATTTCTCACGGTGTCAAGACCAGGAAGCGCCTCCAACATAAAAGTCATTGGAGTTAATCATTAACGGATAGATATCCATAGGTGGTGCAGGCTCTGCGTTCGGAACCTGTGCGCCGAAACCACAATAGTTTAAGCCAAGTCTTACATCAAACATCCAAACAAACACAGTTTTCCCAAAACTACAAACATCAAATCCTAATTATCTACCCCATCTTGAGCAGCATCTCCGCCAGAAGTGCCAGTGCCCTCTTCGATTGGTGGTGAACAGGGGTTGATGGTGCATCCGCATCGCCCGAACCGCTCCCGGCCACACCCTCGCGAGCATTGCACTTAGCAATGTACTTTTTCACCTTTTCTTTGATAGCTACGCACTCCTCGATGGACTACAGAATAGGTTTCAAAAACATAAGAACGTCTTTTCGCAAGTCATTATGGAAAGACCAGCAAGGCGAAAAGAAATAGCTTTTGAGAAAGAGTCATACCTTGCCACGGCTCATGGCAGCCCTAAGGAGAGTGAGATACCTGCCTTCTGGGCGCCAGAACCCTTCAAAGAACTGCTTCCCCGCATCATGAGCATGGCTCGGGGCATTTCAGTACGACTGTGGGTCCTTGATCTCGAATTTCTCAAGATGGTCGCACCCGCACTCTTCCATAGCCTGAGCGAAGGCATGGAGCGAGACGAAAGAAGCGTACTCTCGCTCGACGGTCATGTAGTCGCTCACGGTGGCCAACTCATTCGCTAGCCACTCCATGAAGTCAACAACAGGCGCATCACCGGGCGCCTTCATCTCCTCACTGACACTCTCAATGAGCTCCTTGTATACATTCGCTGCTCTCTGGGCACCGGCGACAACCTTGTTATGCTCGTCGCGTTTCTGCTTTTGGTAGTCCTCAAACTCATGACGCATCTTCTCGATCTGCTCCTTGGTAGGCTTGCGGGCGACATCATTCTCTTCGGCCAGCTTTTTAGCCGCCTCTAGCTCCTGTTCGAGGGCCCGGATCCTTTCATCCTTAGCTGCTAGATCTCTCTCCAGGCCCTGGCAAAAAGCTTGCCCTTAATGTTGAAGCCCCCGAGCCAGGAGCATAGCCTGCGAAAGTCAAATACGCCACGTGAAGCTGTCGCCAAGCAGAAAGAGAGCAACAAAACGAATGCAAGTAAATACCCTTCCACTTACACTAGCTGCATGAAAGTTTACTACCTCTATAAGAGACGAATTAGGGACCTTCAAAAGGTCCCTCTCCACTTTAGGAGCTGAGAACGAGCCAGCGCATGCGTCGACAAAACTAGCCGCAATCTGGTTCAGCAGCAGACCAACCGTGCACGGTCCACGTTGGCGATCACCTGGGAATTCAATGCGGCCCCTAAAGAATTAGCAATCCGGTAAGTCTCCTCCTTCGCATAATTCATTTCGCCAGAAGAGCTCGACCCCGAATAAACCCGCATAATCCTCAGGCCGGGAACTTAGTCGCAGCTCCCCGTGACCAAACAGTTGTCCGTGGACCAAACTGTCACTTAAGAGAATATACTCTGCATAAAATCTAGACTTACCCTGGAGCTGAGCCCGAAACATCAACAGACGCCATGGGAGTAAGGGTCGGGTGAGCAGAAGCCGCCTCTTCGGTAGAAGCCAGTCTTGCCTTTTTCACGCTAGCTTCCTTCGGTGGGTCGCCGGACTTGCGGGAATTCTTCTTAGGTTTTTTCTCAAAAATGTCACCAACGGACATGGTATCCGCAAGGTCGAAGGCGTCATTAACATCGGCAATCTTTGTTTTGTCGGCCATCTCGTCGAAGCTCGAGGCGACCTGCAACACAATAACGACATCGCGTTAGCAAGGGGGTAAAGCATGAATATACCAAGAGGTGAAAAGCCTAACCAAAATAATCAACAGGAAAAATTCACAAGGGACAACATAACGCTACCATTTCAGTCCAAACTTGCCCAAATCGGCGGGTCTGTCCGATCACAACCTTTTTGCTATTGCCCACCTTGCCAGCAATCTCCCATCCGATCCAGACATCGGTAGGCTCCGTGAGACCACAACCCTGGCCGCTAAGCTTTCGCTTGTGGGACTTCATTGCAGCAGTGTTCATCCTGCATCCGGCCATCGCCTTCCATGCTCTGCATCTTCGCCCTCAGGCCCCATGACCACGGGGGGCAGCGTCATCAGCCGAAAGGCTGGTCGAAGGGCCAGACCAATCAGTGTAGCAAAGGCCCATGGTGTCGAAAACACGGTTCAGTCGCCTCTTCCCAGCCAAGGATTGGCACTGGCCCTTGTGCTATATCAAATTCACAAAGCTGAAGTCGGTCGGAAAAGCATCAGAGAGTGCAACGCCGAGATGCGGAAAAACGTATCTGTCCCTTCGCTCGATATCCAAAAACCGAGTCTCGCAACTCAGCGAAGGACTGTCATAAGCTATCCACTCTTCCACAAAATCTTGGCTGATTTGCCAACGAGAGGTCAAAGCAAAGGCGTCTACAGCCTCAGTATCGCGTGGCCCATTAGCCAGAACCTCGGCCAGGCGAAATCCCTTCATCGGTGTCATCTCTGAAACCAGTATATGCGCTTTCGGCAGGTCATTCATTAATGCCTCAGTCACATCCTCTCAGAGCACACACGGTGATAGAAGTGGTAGTTGGTCCAGCGTGGCCATTTATTCTGATAAGCTGGCACTATTTGCATGGTGCCCTTCGTCGTTTTTGGAACGAAGTTATAGGACCCACAATGGGCCACCATCTCAACCTTGGTCTGCTTATCCTTGACCACCTTCTTGTGCAGATGGGTCTCGTAGTACCGAGCGAAAGTATTCATGCTTAGGGCGCACCCAGACATCTTGAGCGCCATAGCGCATATGCCTAGCCGTGTGAAGGCATTGGGAGTCAGGTGATGGATCTATAGATTGAAGCATTGTAGAACTTCGCCTACAAAGTCTTGGCAAGGAAACCGCAATCCAGCTTCAAAAAAATCAAGGAAAATGACCACCTCATAAGGCTCCGGGCGGGGTAACTCTTCCTGGCCCGGAGCGTGGCATAAGCCGCAAAGCGAAGCCTTTAGAAGCCCTTGCTCAACATACTTATCGAGATTGGCTTTCGTGACGCGTGAATGGCCTATCCGATAGGTAATCGGAGTCAAATCCAGTTGGCCCCTGATGGCGGCTGGCACCGGTCCAACAGTTTTGCCTTCCTCACCCTCCTCCACGATCTCCACATCAGTTTTAGTTTCTCCACCAGCATCATCACGCGAAGGGCCTGGGCCGCCTCCGACAGGGCGTTCCGACGCCAAGTTATCGTCATGCGCATTCAGTGATGGAGCCATCGCTCACTCTGACACGCTTCGTGACTAGGTGCGAGATCCCGAGCTAGAGCCATCAGATGAGCTCCCGCTGGACAAAATTGCCGCCAGACGACGACTCACTTGACATCTATCCAACCGAGTTACATACAAAAACCCAAAAACCAAAAATAGTAAATAAGCGAAAAGAGCTAAAACGCTAAAATAATACAAGTGCGCAATAAGGAAATAAAAAGCGAATAGAAGAAAGCAAATGAGTCCTGGCGAGGACGAGCGAGCTGCCGACCAACTCGAGCGAAAAGCCGAGAAGCGAAAGCTTCTTTCTTGAGCGGGGGTTGGAGGAAAGATGAGAGCGCACGGCTCTCCCAGCACGGGTGGGGCTTATATAGGCACCCGCCGCGCACTGCGCAAGCCTTGAGGAACCGACGTGACGCTTCGCATAACCACCTTGAGGAACCGCCGCGACGGTTTGAATTCCAAGAAACGGTAACAACAGCTCGAAAACCAAAAAAACGTAAAACAGTAGCTGCAAAAAAAACACGATCGCCACATGAAGTACAACCATCGCTGCGGATCTTCACCCTTCGCCGGGGACGGCGTGCGAGCCACTTGGTGCATAGCTCCTGTAAACGCATAAGGCACCCACGCAGAGATCGAGGGCCTCTTCGCGTGATGCCGAGGGGCTAATGTTGGGGGCTCGTCCGCCCCCCCGCTCACACCCTACTAACGCAGATGAAGTCTTGCGCCGGCGAAATGACGAACGTCAAGGGCACGGACGATCTTGGCCCGTCGGCGCACCTAGCATTTCGCGCTAGTGAAAAGATGAGTGCGATACCACGGGAGAAACAGAGCCTATGTCGCGGAGTTCTCACCTTGTCAAAGCGAAATGAGGGCGGCACCGACCACCCTGTTTCATGATAATCACTGCTCTGACCCCCTTTTCATTGAGATGGAATGGCGGATCCGGCGGTGAGGGCTCGCCCGAATCCCACGCCCGGCTCAACTCTTTTCGCCTTGGCGAAAAGAGCGGCCCCACTTAAGTCTGCGTGGCCAGGGCGTGGTGCCGGCTTGAGCTATTCGCTCGGGCGAATAGTAGTTAATGGTTCGTTTAGTCGGTTTTGCAGGTTTCGCCAATGGAGGGGTCGACCGCCTTTGCATGGCCGACAGCTTCTGTCCGCTAGGGGCCCACTCGGTCGGTCGCGGAAGCGACATGAGGCTGGGCTGGTCGGCTCTCCTCTAGCCAGCGCTACGCAGGGCAGGCGGGGACTCTGAATGGCGAGCAAGCCCACAATGGCAAGGAATATTCTCCGAATGTGTAGTAGTTGTGAGGGCATTTTTGTCCCACGAAAAGTCTACGGATGTGTATAAATAGCCTCCATGGGGGGAATATAAAAACAGGAGGCACAAGATCAATAAAATCGTCTTATCTTGTTTAGCTTGCGTTTTTCCTTTCAACTCATACGACAACTAGGTGTTCGAAGGCTTTGGCCTTGAACAACAATGTCGATGGACGGACAGCTGCTTAAAGCGGCCGTAACTGGTGATGGCAGGCAAATGAAGCACCTGGCTTCTCAGGATCCCGCAGTGCTGCTTGGAACCACGCCACAGGGGAACACATGCCGCCACATCGCCGCCATCCATGGCCACGACGTGTTCTGCAAGGACGCCGTGGCACTGAACCCGTCGCTCCTCGCTGCCGTCAACTCTGACGGCGAGACCCCTCTGCTCGCCGCCGTGGCAAGCGGTCGTGTCTTCTTCACTTCGATATTGCTTCCTACCATCCATATGCACCAATTTGACAAACTAAGCATGAACAGTCATGGCAGTTAGCAGTGTGCAAACAACGATGACATTAAAGAAACTACTGCTAAATGATTATTTTGACTTCAGCAATGGTGATAACTAAATTTTTAGTTTGCTATTTCTTTATGATAGCTTTTTAGTTTGCTATGGTAGTTCATATTATGAAACAATTTTACATGTTACCAAAAATGGTTGCATCCCTTTTACGGAAAAAATAATGAGAAGTCCAGATGAAAGTCGATACAAATGCAAAGCAGATTGTGAAACCAGGAATGAATTCAATGCCATTAAGCATGTTGTAACAATGTTGGCTTCTTTTTCTAAAAGGCCATTGTAGCATTGTGGACCTGAAGGAACAGCTAGCTCGGAGAAAAGATAGTTGCACCAATGCAACCTCCTAATTGCTGGTTTTCATTTTTTACCCCTTGAGTATTATATTAACTACTGAAAGCTCCATTTGCATATTTCTTTGACTTTATGCAGAATGAAGTGTCCATGCTTATGTCAAAAGCTGATCCTCGATACAAAATATATAATCTCCACAAGCAAGTGAAGACTAAAGTGACAAACTTCTCAAGGAAGGATATCAAGGCATTGACTCAAACATACACAAGCAACACTTCTCTAGTGGCAATCCTTATGGCGACGATTACCTTTGCCGCTGCTTTCACTTTGCCAGGAGGATATAGCACAGACGCTGGAAATGAAGGACTTCCCATCATGACCAGAAAGCTTGCATTTCAGGCGTTCTTGATCTCTGATACCTTGACAATGTGCTCCTCACTTCTTGTTGCCTTTGTATGCATCATAGCAAGGTGGGAGGATCTTGAGTTCTTGCTTTATTATAGGTCTTTTACAAAGAAGCTCATGTGGTTCGCGTACATGGCAACCACCATAGCATTTGCAACTGGTTTATACACAATTCTGGCTCCTCGTCTCCTATGGTTGGCCATTGCAATTTGTGTTGTGTCAGTTTCATTGCCAATTCTTACTAAACTTCTTGGTGAGTGGCCTGTCTTAAAGCTCAGGTTGCGGCTGGGTCATCAAACATTCAAGCCTGAGTTCCTTAATATGGTTTGACATGTCCCATCTATACTCCGATCCATATGTGTTCATTTTGTTTCAAACAATAGGATAGGATGTATGTTATGTATTGTGGGGAATCAATATATATGGTGTGTGATGATGGTAATTTGGAACGCCGCTGGAATCCCAAAATATGTAATTTGGAACGCCACTGGAATGCCAAAATATGTAATTTGGACATCACTTATACATGTCAAGCTTTAGTTTTTTTTCAACATGAGGAAACCCTATTTCCATTAACTTGTAACGGAAATACAGATTGTTCGTGCCAGGAGAAAGAGACAGCAAACAGAAGCTACTGACCATCTAACACCACCATCTACCCAACCAAAAGCCTGGCTCAAAACAGAACGCAACCAACCTATCACCGAAACGTTCAACCATCAAAGCAACAGAAAGAACCCAGCCTTAGACGTCCATCAGAATTGTGGAGGGTGATGAGCTCAAGACTGCTTTCAAAACTCATAGTGGGTTATATGAGTTCACAGTAATGCCATTTGGGATCACAAATGCCCCTAAACTACTACAGGTTGAGCTACCATTGTCGTCACTTTCACTATCGTAGAAGACATAAGCGACGGTGTGATACTGCCACCATCGGTTGGATCGATTTCAAAGCCTCGTAAGGAATCAAACCGGTAGTTGAAACTTCTAGCACCGATGGTTGAACCATCAATGCGGCGGTGCTGGTGGGGTTGAATTTCACTGTCATTTGGAAAGCCGAGCCGACTGAGATACGCGTTATGGAGGCCGGCCCTACACGACCGTTTGGTCTACCGGTGGTAAATTCAGTGTGGGTGTTGAATGTCCCAACTTCCAACACCGTCTCACCACTTCTACCGGGAACCGTCGTATACCTCGTCTTCCCTGATGCGTATGCCTAGATCACGCATCTTAACTGCTCTATTCCGCTTCTCCACCATCTTGAAGATTGGCCTATTTAAGCCGGGTCTGGGTGCATCTCTTGGCCTCATTCCACACACTCTTCCTCCTTCAATCTCTTTTAGAATAAATACAAATTGACAAAGCTCTTGAGCCAACCATCATTTTTTCTTCATCGCCATGGCGCTCCTTGTCCAATTCCTCCGGCGACAGCAGCGACATTGGGAGAAGGCCTTCAAGATTGGGTACAATCTGCATCAAGGCGTAGCGGGGGCTGCTCGATCTAGGTGCTAGTGGAAGCTTTATGATTAAAGGGTCGCTTATTTGGGCAAGCCAGGGTACTGAATGCACTTTGGTATCCGTGGTTTCACATTGCTAGGCTTTGTCATTGGGGCTGCTGGGATGCCGACGGTGGCTCCTATGATGGCTCCAATGAGCGTAGGGCCGCTAGGAAGGTAATGTCTATATATACAGTTGCCACCTTTTTGCCCTATGCAGCCCTGCTGCTACCGATTCATCACTCCGACGCCCTGGCAATCCTCATTCCTCTAGAGCAGCAACGATGACGACGGCGGCGCTTCTCTTCCACGCCTATGCTTGCCTCTCTACCATGAGAGGTGCAGCAAGGAAGTTAAAGCACCTCACTGAGATGCTGGTGAAAGTTTTGCGAGGTGTTGCCTCGTCCTTGCTCTCCTTGTCTACGGCCTATTAGGTCATCAGGGTGCTCAACAGGAGAGCACCTTGATGATCACAGATCTTCTGTTAGGCTCCAAACTCTACTATGGGTTGTACATATACTCGACAGGTCTTTGTTATTGCACACTCAGTAGTCTTTGACAGGTCTTTGTTATTGTACAACTTGTGGAATGTAACTGAAGTTATCAATGAAAATTTTCCTCATGAGGCTGTGATGCTTGTTACTGTGTCATTTATATATAGTTTTTGCCTTAAAATAATTAATAACTGAATGATTGTGATGCTTGTTACTCCATTTTTTAAATGTCGTAGTATTTGCCTTGGCTACATAGACGTGAGATAAAGCACCTCACTAAGATGGTGTTGGGGTTTAAGTTTGCGAGGTGCTCATTCTTCAAGATTGGGTGGTTTATATTCCATCTCACAGCTCTCACGGTCAAGAAGCAGATCTGCATATCTCCTCCCACAAGAAAACGGAACTAAACAAGAAAGAAAGATACTAAGAGCGAAGAGATTCATACGTCGATACAGTTATGGGTGCACATATAATAAGAAAACTAAAATAATAATAAATCAATGGGCGTGCATCATAATTAAGCAAATTCTCACTATCATAATAATTAACATAACATAATTAAGATAATTATATGTCTACTACTCATACTCTCTTCTTGTCAGCCACCTCCTTGGAGGCGGTCTTCAGGGTGCCCGGCAGTTTGTCCAGGTTATCGGCGAGTAGGTGAAAAACATAGGTGTAATTGGGCACTTTCTCCTCAACATCGTGACGATGGTGCCCAGACCGAGCTCCGTTAGCACAGCGTTCATCCTCCAGTAACTCTTCTGGAAGAGGCAAGTGCCCATGCGTCGCCACATCCAAAGGGATTGAACGGATCTTCGTTGATGCCATCGGGCACGGCTTCATCCTCCGATTCATCCGTCAATGCGCGCACGGTTTCATCCTCCGATTCGTCCGTCCATGCGCGTTTGGCTTCTGGCACAGATTCCTCCTCCATCCGTGTGCGCTTGGCAGAAGGCTGGGCCATTGTGGTTGCTATGCAAATGCAATTCGTATATGAGGGTGTGAGAAGGCAAGAGTAGAGGTGGTTTGGATCAAAGGCGTAGGGGACTGTACCTTGCGCTAAATAATAGGCTAGCGGTTCGTCGCTTCGTTTCCCCCAAACCATTTGATTAGCTCTAGAGAGACTGAGCGGCGTGGTCTAGTCAATTTTCTCCGCTGCGGCCGCCGCGCCGCGCTCCTCCTCGCCGCAGCCGCCGCCATCTCGCGCGGCCGCGACCCCGACACGGCCGTCTACGCCTCGGTCTCCCCGCCGCCGAGGGGCTCCGCTCCGGCACCTGCCTCTTCTCCCCGTGGTTGCTCCCGTCTCCGTACCAAGGTCCGTTTTCACCTCTTATTCTTCTTCTTCTTCAGTCTGGGCCGTCGGGGAGACGGTCTTTTGCCGCGTGGCGGAGTAGAGACTCGAGAGTGGTTGCCCGTCCAAGGGGTTTTGGGTTCGGGGATTTTGGAATGTCACTCGATTGGGCCTGAGTCTGCGTCTCGGCTAGACCTCCGTCTGATTGTCTGGGATGGTGTGGTGAGTGTCTGGATTCAGGTAGACCATACTGCGTACGGCACTATGCGCATTGGCGGGTCTTGTTAGTTCAATTCAGTAGAGGTACCTGAGGTTGGACTCTGAGCTTTTCAGCCGTACTGAACTACTGATAGTCAGTGGACCAATGTATGTCGAGACGAACACGCTTTGTAATGTACAAGGGCATGTCATGAAAAGTTGCATGTGTTGGATCATGTAGATAGGTGGCAATTTCTAAATATCATATCATCAGCCTGCTTGCAGGGTCTTAGCTTGAGTCCGGGCAATAATCCTTTTCAAAATATGATAAACTTTTGAGTTACCTATGTGCATCATAGTTACAGTTGACAGTTAAGGATGGTCAAAACTGACGAAGATATGATCGGGAATGATTGTAGTTAGAACCTTTAATATGTCCTTAATTATTAACTCTGATGAGACTGAAGTGCATTTTTGCTTTACCTGAAACTGCAGTTGCCTTGTTAGTTGTTATCTTCGTCTTGGTAAGATAGATCTCTGTGTTGAAGATCTTACTGTGTCCAAATGTGTTTCTAGGGTTCCCTATACTAAATACCTTCGCGTCTGCATCGGTTTCACCTGATGACCACAGAGACCAAGGTTCTGACGGAAGCTCAGGTGATTCAAGATGCTGCCCAGGGTGTCTAGGCAGGAATTCGATTGCCAAGGCGGCATCTGCAGTTGGTCCTGCTGTTGTAAACATTTCTTCTATGCATGGTGAGAACATTCTCGTCTAATGGAAAACTGTCAAATTCCTCACCAGTGTTGTAGCTGTGTGCACTGAACTTTTCAAATCACCTTTTTTGTAGATATGCATGGATGGGTGCAAGAGCAGAGCATCGGATCTGGAACTATAATAGATCCAGATGGGACAATATTCACATGTGCGCATGTTGTTGCAGATTTCCAAAGCACAAAAGCAATTGTGAGGAGAAAGGTTGCTAACTTGGCACTATCTTATCCTTACATGCTGACTGTGTAAATACCGTCAACCGCTTATCATTGGTCATGTGGACAATGTGAAGCGTGCATTTGGATTGTTGTTTGAAGAACCATTTGTGTCAATTTGGTAGCTCGTTCTTTGCTAAATTTCAGACACTAGTTCTGATTTCTGAAGGGTTGATTTAACTCCATATAAGTAAGTTTTGATGCTTTTGTATTTATCCTTGGAGAGAAGAGTTTGGCAGTAGTGGATGCTAATATTCTGTATTTCGTACCTAGTTAGGACAGTTTTGGTCTTGATTTGTTTCAAAATTGTCTCTTAATTCTGTAATTGAGTTAACTTAATGTCCTTAATCCTTTTACCTTTCTTTTAAGCTGAGATTAACCAACAATAGTTTATCTACTAAGTACTAGGGTTAATGTTCTAAACTTAGTGACCCAATCCTCCAAGCTATAGCAGCATGGATAATTACAACACTTGCTACATAGCATGATATGTATCTGTGCTTGCTGCTTGAAATCACTGATTATGATTTCGTTGAGGTTATTATGTTTTACACTACTGTTTCCTTCATCATCTTTCTCTTAGAAGGTTGAATGTTGTTACAGGTTAGTGTGACTTTACAAGATGGTCGTGAATTTGAAGGTGTTGTCCTTAATGCTGACCGCCTGTCTGACATTGCCGTTGTGAAGATTAAATCTATGACCCCTTTACCGGCTGCCAGGCTTGGATCGTCATCTCAACTTCAGCCAGGTGATTGGGTTGTTGCTCTGGGCTGTCCACTTTCTCTTCAGAACACAGTTACCGCTGGTATTGTCAGGTTAAGACCTAATCATTTTTATTCAATTTACTCTCATGAGTTATCATTAATACTAGTAGTTTCATGAAAAATTGCATGCATACATTTTTTTTTGTTGACTAAAATTGTCTACGTTGACTTTTGTTTTTCTTTGTTGTAGCTGTGTTGACCGGAAAAGCAGTGATCTGGGTCTTGGAGGATTACGAAGGGAGTATCTGCAAACAGATTGCGCTATTAATAAGGCAAGACCGTTGGTTTTGTGTTGCTAACATGTGAAATTAGTGTGCAAGTATCTTGCATTTGCTATGAGTTTACTAGTTCTTCTTGAATGTTTTGGCCATGTAACTATGCCTCATCAGTTGTCACCTCACCTCATCATGTCCCGACAAAATGCAGAAGATTATGTAGATTCTAGTCAAAATAAACATTAAAATGTCAGTGTAGCATGCCTTTTACTTGCAATGCATATACACATTGTTTATGATTCTCAATTTTGTTGGATTCTGTTTTCCTTCTCAGTATCTGTTGAATAAACTATTTTGACACATTTGTATGCTGCAGGGAAATTCTGGAGGCCCTCTTGTGAACCTTGATGGTGAGATTATTGGAGTTAATGTGATGAAAGTTTGGAATGCTGATGGTTTGAGCTTTGCAGTACCAATTGACTCTGTCATTAAAATAGTAGAGAACTTTAAGAAAAATGGGTATGCCTTACTCTTACGCATAGCATAATACTGCTTGCAATTTATTATATCATGGTACTGCCGTCTTTTAGCTTTCTCTTTGGAATTTCTTTCTATAGTTTGGTATGATTTGTGCTCTTGGATTGAGCTAGTGATTGGAAGTTCAAAACATGTAATAAAGTACTTGTGTGAATAAAATGAAACAATGAAAAATGCAATACCATTAGTGTTTCCAAGCTTCATTCTATCTGATAAAAGGATAGTAGTACTTCATTAATGCAATGATACGCAGCTCTCCTCCCGTATTCGAGAAAAAAAAATAGTACTTCATTAGATCCTTCAATCATAAATATATGTACATCTAGGTTTGTACCAAGTAAATTTTTTTATTAAAAAATTGCGATCAACATATAAAATTTTATACAAATCGTCTACTCCAGTGGCCGAGGGTGGATCAGAATTAAGGGGGGGGCTATGTTTTAAAAGGTGCTACTGTAGCAGTTGCAGTGGCAGTCTGGCATGACTTCCCATCGCCTGCTTGTTTCTCCTGCGGTCAGTCATAGCTAAAGTAGCATGCAGCTACCACTTCACATGTCCTGTCTTTTCTCATCCCTGCCTTTCCTTCTTGCACTAAATTAGTGTCAGTTTAATAACTTCAGAGATTCGTAAGCTTGTGACTCTTCTTTTGTCAGAGGCAAGGGGGGGCCAACGCCCAGTTTCGCCTCTATTCTATGAGGCTCCGCCAGTGGACTACTCAAGATTGATTATGTTAGATCCATTATAAAAATCCTTTCATAATCTATAACTATTTCCATTATGATAGTATATTTTTATAGATATTGCTAGTCAAAGTGTCACACTGAAGGCCATATCAATGTCCTAATGGAAACTTATGTTTGTAATTGGAGAAAGCAAGTTATCTGTGGGAGTAAGACTGTGTGTACCAACCTTTTTGAGTAGATTTATTTTGGACGACTTATACTATTCATGTTTGTTTACCTGCATGTCTGGGAGCCGCTTATGCTTGTTTCCAATATACAATGCAGGAGAGTTGTAAGGCCATGGCTTGGTTTAAAGATGCTTGACCTGAATCCCATGATCATTGCACAGCTCAAAGAAAAATCAAGTACTTTTCCAGATGTAAGAAAAGGGGTGCTTGTTCCTATGGTAAGCTATTATTAATTCCGCTTATGAAATAACACACCTTGTACTATGTGATATAAGCTACTGTGCTCGCTGTGTGAGTTATGAATATATGTTTGGCACACTTCACTTTTGTCATACTGATTCTGATAATACCTTCTCAATGATGGGTCTGCTGACAGTATGTGGGTTCTCAATCAGGTTACACCAGCATCTCCAGCTGAACAAGCAGGATTTCGTCCTGGGGATGTGGTTGTTGAATTTGGTGGCAAACCAGTTGAGAGCATCAAAGAGGTAACTAAAAAGATAACTACTAGTGATGTGTGGTACATGATGGTTTTAGTTGTTGGTTTGAAGTTGTATCGTGGTTTTTTGGGCCAGTTTCCATTAAAAAAAAATGGGCCGGCACTAACCTTTGTTTTTTCTTCGTCTAATAAAATCCGCGGCCATTTCAAAAAAATGTGTGCCATACGATTTAATATACTTGCAGGATTCCTTTTCTTTTCCCTGAAAGTAGTTATCATATTAAGTTGTAATATCTTATTTGAATTTCGACATGAAAAAACACCTGGTTAGAGCCAATTGCTAGTAGTGGTACATTTGTTTTTCCTTCCAATATTCCTTTTCTTTCAAACCCACAACTCAAGAGGAAGATTATATTATTTTTCTTTATTTGTACAAACACGATAATAAAGTGTTCGCTGCAGATCATTGATATCATGGGGGACAAGGTCGGAGTACCATTTAAAGTTCTTGTTAAAAGAGCGAACAATGTGACAGTGACCTTAACTGTGATACCAGAGGAGGCAGATGCCAGCAGATGACCTAAACTAATCTGCTGGGAAGCTGAGCTAAATCCTAAGGGGAGGATTCTCCATTGTAACTCCAATTTTCTTAAGATAATACTTTCTGTTGAGTTCTGTATGTAGCCAGAGGATGATAGGTGACAGGACCACCCAAGGAAAGGAACGAAAATATATAGGAAATATATATTAGCGCCATGCTCAGTCATGGTACGTGTTGGTTTTTGTTTTCTGTAGCATGTATTTACAATCAATAGCGGTAGGTTTTCATTTTATTTCTTTGAATTGAATAACGATGCCTGTTCAAGAAGACCAATTCCTTGATTTTTCTTAAAGAATGTCTCTATGTTCTGCCATTCTATGCAGTACTATGCTTAGTTGCTGATACCTGGACGCCAGTTAATTTCATTCATATCATAGCTTCCGTACCTGTGCAATCTGCATAGTAAAGTGACCGAACAGCAAACTAGCTAGATAAGATCGCAATTCCATTTCCAAACTGTAATTTTCAACCTACTGTCTATGATGTGAAGATTTTGTGGAATCTATTAGGTCAGGAAATCGTGCGCTCGACACTACAAAAGACTTTCAACGGCCAAATTATCAGCGTGTATGACTGTTTGGGAGCAATGTTGTACGGAGTACGTCTGCTGGTTGGTCTGCTGGGATTTTCAGGTCGATCATTGCTGATTTGCTGTGTGAGTGGGCACACACTACTACGGATCCGCTGTCTTGTGCAGCACCCAGAACCCTAGGTCCATCTCCATTGGTTGTTGGATGACAACATCGTGGCTTTTTTGTTGGCACGTCCCTCTCGTGCTTCATCATTGGGGGGGAAATATTTTTTGTTCTCTGGTAGACGTACACTTTTGTCTACCTGTATGGTGTACCAACAGCTGATCAGTTCGCGTCTCGTCTCGCAGGGAATCTTTTCCGTACTTAAATACACGGTATTGAAAATAATGTGCTGTTTTTTGTGCTAATAATGCAGCGCTATTGGTGGACTTGTTGCGTAGTTTTGTGTAGAGTTGTGGGCCTGTGATGTGTGCTGTACACGTACACGAGAGATCTGTGCAGTGCAGAATCAGGAAGTTTATGTGTGTGTATGCTGTCATGCTATTAAAGCGTCTAAATCAAGCAAATTGAAAAGAGAGATACTGTAGTTGAGCTCTGTGACATGTAGGTGTATGATTGGCAGCAATCATGGAGAGAAGATACTCTCTGTTTTTTTCTTCTTCTGTAAGGAGAAAATTGAATACTCATTCATCGTTGTGACTGAGGCGAAGTGACACCGGCGTTTTTCTTTTTATTTACAAGTTTCTCCTTTTGATGAAAAAGGAACTTATTTCGAGAGCTAGGAACAAGGGATTTTTAGGCTGTTTGGGGGCGGAACGGAACCATCTGCCGCTGCGCCGGCGGCCGGCCAAGTGTGCGGTGTGTCCGAGTCCGGCGAGGACGACGAGAGCATCTCTCCCACCCTTTTTCCACGTAACGAGATCCAGGGGAAGGAACAGGAACACGGCGGCGGCGGCGGCGGCCACGGGGAAAGGCCAGGCCAGGGGGCGGCGGAGGAGCACAAGGAATGCGACTCAGGGTGCAGTGGGGCTGGGCCGGGGCCTCGGGGTGAAGAGCGATGGCGACGACCACGGTGCCGGCGCGGGAGCAGAATCTAGCATCGCACGTCACGCCACCTACGCTACGCAAACACCACCTGCACCTGATTCTCTCCATCCCTCCCTGTCCCTCTCTCTCTCCTCTCCGCTTATATTTTCTTTAATTCTTCTTTTTGTTCTTTTCTCTTCTTTCCGTGCCTCCTCACTCCCGTCTTCATTTCGCTTCTTCTGTACTTTTCTTCCTCTTTATTTTCCCTTTTGTGTTTATTATTTTTATTTTGCATGGAGTTTGAGGGGAACGAGTTTTGCAGTGAAATACTGTACACATTTAAATTCTAAACAACGGTACAAGATTCTCAAAAACCTACACAGCCTGTTCGCTCGTTGGTTTCACCTAGGCTAAACCAGTCAGCCAACAATATTTTTCTCTAAAAAAATCAGCACCAGCCGAAATCAGTACCAGCATCGACCAGCGAACATGACCACTGCTGAGGACGACCACCGGAAAGCTCCTCCGAACAAATGTACGCTTGTGGTCGGTTCGAGTGGTCCGAATACAATGTGTCTGTGATGGATTTTTTTTTGTGTATTATTCCCTCCCCTCCAAGGCGGAAGCGGAACAGGATTCTCCCAACCGGCCAACCCATCCCAACCCAAGCCTGTTCATAAATAAAAGAGACCGTACGAGAGTATTGAGTACCCTGCCACGTTTGCCAGGGGCCGCTTTAAATTGTGCCTTGGCATCCCGTGGGGCACAGGCAGGCGGGTCCCAAGCGACAGAATCGCAGATCCCGTCCGGGCTGCCGTTGCAAATTTCATGGCAAATTCGCGCCGGCAGATCCGCGCGTGGCGCACAGACCTAACAAACGCTGCCGAATCCTCTGGTGTGTGGTCAGTGGTCACCCTCCCTCCTCCCGTCCCGTGTTGGCACCCGTTTTTCGCACCGCACGGGAGTCTGGTGTGGACAGTCTTTATGAGTTGGGGAAAATACGCTTACGTGTGGAAGCGCTCTTGCGAGAGACAAGTAGCAAGTGTGCTGACAGTGAGTCAGCTAATATTATTTTTCTCTCACAAAAAATCAGTACCAGTCAACCCAAACCAACACCAGTACCCACCAGCGAACAGGCCCAGTGAACGAAAGTGAGGAAATATTGAAAACGTGGAACTGTTGTGTGTTTAGGGTGTTGGAGTTAGGGCGTGTTTGGTGCGGCTCCCGCACAGCTCCGGCTCTGGCTCCGGCAGTAGAGCCGCACCAAACGCTATAGGCCGGAGGAGCCCTTCTGCCGTGAAATGAGAGAGCAGAAGCCGTTTTGACGTACGGCAGGTGAAGCCTCGATTTGAGGCTCCGGCACTCCGGCTCCGGCTCTCGCACAAGAGCAGGCCGAGTGGAGCCCGGGCAAACACGTTCTTAATAATTTCCTTGGGGGAAAGCATCATGTTTGATTGTTCATGGTGTACCAACTTTTTTCCTTTCTTTCTTTTTTCCAGGATCATTTTGTACCTAATTTGCCATGGAGTCGCACACTTTTTTTAGTAAAAAAAAAAAGGAGCAAATAGAAAGAATAAGTTGCATATACGATTCCATTTTTCACGGTACTTATGTTATATACATACATACATTGACGAAACAAGTGTGAAAGAAGTTGTAGACGATGGCAGCAGCTCTCAAGGAAGGGCGCAGTGTAATTATTGGGGTGGGGCCCGCGGGGAACCTAGAGAGAAGGCATGGCCCCACGTGGGAGAAGGACGTGTGTTTGGTGCTGCCTGTGATGGGATGCGACTCTCGCTTTCTCGAGCCCAATTGAGGTGAAATAATAAAGCATGAAAACGCATCCTCCTATTTGCACATAATCTAATAAATAAATAAATGAATAAATATTCCAATTCCAGACCCATCCATCACTGCGTCCAAGTCCCTCCATGCTCCCCTGAATTGCCGGAGAAAAATGCAAACACAAACTGATGATGGACACATCAAATCACCCGCTCGATCACTCACCGCCCCCGTACGTGTTATTATGCCATTCGAGCCACTGGCGACAATACTTTATGAGATTCGTATATTTAACCACGATATTAAAAGTGATGGATACCAGATTTGATGATTCGATGCCTGTTTTATTTCCTGAGAAAATGTTCGATAGATTTGTTAAGAATTATTATTTAGATTCGTATATTTAATCACGATATTAAAAGTGATGGATACCACTCTTTTCACACTGGTAACCGCTCATGTGAACTTTTTATATATATATATATATATATATATATATATATATATATATATATATATATATATATATATATATATATATATATATATATATATATATATATATATATATATTTCTGTTCATTGAAATACAACAGACAATTATTTGCATCAATCGATCTCAGTCGTTCTCTGTTTTCTGACACGTTATCACGCACTTGCTCCTCCCTGAGTTTTGGCGACTTCCGAAACTCGATGGCTTCTGTCCATCGCAGTCCAGACGGAAAACCGAAGGCACGCCGGTCTCACCAGCGATGAGAACACCGACGACAATTCGAGGACAATTTTGTTCTTTCTTGACGGTGGAGGCCAATCTCGATCTCCTGATATGGCGAAGCACAGGAGTTACGTAGAAGAATTTTGATGCTGCCGGCACAACCTGTTCTTCAACGACGACGTCCACTGGTTTTGGGCTGGAAGAGAAGAAAAACGTCGATGCTGGGCATCTTCGGCGGAGAAAAATGCATCTGGACACAAAGACTGTAAGCCCAGATCAAGTTTTCTTCAATTCTTCGTGCTCTTGCCTTGCATGGCATTGGACGACGGACGAGTTCCTAGCCCACCACGCTGGTTGCTGCGCGCCCCTCCTGATGAGGACATCACTCCTTTGGATGTACCAGCTGATCCTCCAACTGTCATGCAAGGTCCAATGACCCGGGCTCGAATGCGTCAACTCAATTTACAGATGAGCTCGTTCTTAAGCGATCCTTTTCATACTTTTGAGAATAGACTACTACCTAATGATGTTATCTTGCTTAGGAACATTGGAGAGGGTCAAGATGGACTAAGAGGACGTGGAGGAGGTGATGATGACCAGCAAGGACGTCCAACACAAGCCGGAGGCCCAGTCCAACACGAATTCGAGTCTGCCTCGGCCTTCAGGACCAGTCTGCCTTAAACTGGTCGCCCAGGACGCATCCGGACTCCGTTTTCGATGATCCACATATGGATGGAAAGCTAATTTGATAAGGAAGCCAATCCAAGTGGTTTCACGTCAAAAGCTATTCGGAATCAACGGGAATCGTTGAAACAAGTCAGCGTCCAGAATCTGCCAGGGTGCTGCGACACCGTCTTTTGGTCCGTTGGACCATGTATCGAGTTTGGGCCCGTTAGGGGCGCGTTCAGGGGTCTTGCACGACCCTAGAGTCTTCATAAACAGCCGCCGCCCCTCCATGAGGGTTTGGGTTTTGCTTAGATTATTCTGTCAAGAAACAGTTTCGTCGTTCTTCGGTTTGTGAGACCCCAACTCGTGAGATTAATCATACATTCGCAATTTGGTTGCGTTCTTTCTTGTTCTTGCTTGTGTTCTTCGTTGCGCAGGCAGGGATTAGCCTTCTTGGCGAGGTCAACCTGGTCCGTGACTCGGTTGATAACCAGAGGAGCTGTGGTGCTAAGATTGCAGGGTTCGATCTTTCGATCTGAAGCCGGATCGGTGTGTCATTCTCCGCCACAACGATAGTTACCATCACCTGACGGAAGATCGGGATCCCTGTCTCCATTACCTCCGGCTCCCGCCAGCATGGCTTGTGGCGTTCGCGTGCCCTGCCTTGCGGCGGCGGAAGTGGAACCGCACGCGCGGCACGGCTCCCACATGCTCGAGTGCTGCGGCCGTGGTGCGCTCGACCGGCGGTAGAGCCTTCACGCCCGGATGGCTGTGGGCTTCTCCCACGCGCACGCGCCCCTGAGTGCGCGGCCGGCGCCCTCCACCCCTGCAATGGCGGCGGCCTCTCGCCTGCGTGGCCAGTTGCCACCGGCGGCCGGTCCCGTGGCCAGGCCTGCGCGGCGGCGGGCGGTTGATATCCGACTGCGGCCACGAGCCCATGACCGCAGCGGCTGGCGGCCCCTCCCGCGCCCTTTGAGGCGGCACTGCGCCCGCGCCTCGCGCGCGGCGGGCGACGGCTCCTGCGCGTGCGGCTGGTGCCCCTGCACGGCGTCCTCGGCCCGGCATTCATGGCCCTCACGCGGCTGCTCGCCCGACCACGGCAGTCGGCAGCGTTTGCCAACAGGCCGGCGGCGGCATCTAGCCCGTGAGGCCAACCGACGCGATTTTGGAAACCGTCCGTGCGTTTGTGGCTGTGGGAAGGGATAATGTTGTGCAGATTTGCACATAAACCCTTATACTTTATGTGACAACATAATAATAATTCTAATAGATTATTAGGGTATTCATGTTTCATGTTTGGACCTCATATACATTTCTGCAATATTAAATGCTCGATTTAGACCTCTGGTTTAAACAAATTATGATGCACAGTTTTTTACCTGGTGTAAATAACCAATTTTTGAGATATGCGTTCTTAGAAATTGCATCATAATATAATATATTGTAGTTATTTACTATGTTAATGTTGAGACATATTTTCTGTATCTATGGCCTTCTGATTTAGTCATCAACTCTAACAATATCGGTATGGTAGAGTTTTTTACTCCAATACATTGTTTTGGTTTTAGACCAGAAAATTATATATGTCTAAGCATACATAGTTTGTCGATTTGTTGTTTGGCAATCAATTTTGGTTGCAACAAAATCGGATCCTTTTAATTAATTGATAATTAAGGATAGATAATTTAGGCTTATATGTGCCTAATTTGAAAAAGCAAAATGGCAGCCAAACCATTTTTGCTAGTGAGGCTAACATAGGAAGCGGGTTTTTGTTTTGATCATACGGGATTTTGCATAGGTATGCCACAAGCCCACTATAGCACTATGTGCTTAGTAAATTTCTTGTTTTAACAGTATCAGTACAATAGAGTTATTCCTATACTTTGTTGACTCGTTAATTTGGCATTTTTTTCATAAATTGCATTTTAACAACGATAGATCATCTTAATTAAATATTTCTTAATTAATGATAGATTATGTAAAATTATTATACTCATATCTTGCATACATATGGGATCATAACACAAGTGATAGAGTCCTAGGCATTGGCTGCGTTTAATTCATCTTGAATTATTCGGCCCAGAGATTGTGCCAATGGCCGTGATTATTTGCCCATTATTGAGAGGTCTACGTCATGTTTATTTTGAACTTGATGATTAGCTACATTATGTTGTCCCAAATAAGTGTTTTGGAAATATAAGAATTGTATACTTTATGGTGATTACCATCATTCATTATTAAAGGCTATACACAGGTGGTAGAGTCTTAGACATTGGCTGTGGTATATTCCTATGAATATATCAGCCCAGAGACCATGCCCTATAGCAGCAAATTATTTGCCTACTACTGAGAGATCTACTCTATGTTTTGGACATAGAGATTATCTACAATGTGTATGCCAACATTAATAATGATTGTTCGTGAGGTCTACACATCTTATTATCACTTCTAATTGTTGGAAAGTTTACAGTTTTGTTGACTATCTTCAACAATCTAAAACAAAGTGACAAGATATGGAACCCCCTAAATTTTTGCATTGGAGATTACATCACCATAGTGATTTTTAATTTACCACAGGTGTAAATTAATTAAATCAATGGTTCGTCACATGTTGTGGATATTGACTCCAGAGAAGTTTGATGAACTCGCTCTAGATGGCATCACTATCCCATATGGACAATGGACATTAACATTGGTTTTATCCCATGGACTAATAGAATAATTTAATGAACCTCAATTAGGGGTTTTTGTTATAGATCAAAGGGAATTGTGCCTTACTGTAGTTAAGGTACTATACATCCATAAAGATCATCGATAAGATTATCTTGTGGAAAAAATGCACATTCTTAGTGGCTCACTTTTTAAGAGTTTTATGAACAATAAATAAACTCATATAGCTTGAGGCTAATCATAAGTGGATCATCTCTCTAGTTTTTCAACCTATTGAAGACTATGATCATATTGTTCATATAATTTGCTTCCACTAGTAAAAGCAAAAGGCCTAATGTGTAATATGAGTGATGGCAATGTAAACCCAAGAATGACAAAAGTAATGTCATATATGTGGTTGTGTTTAGCATAGCGCTACACTACAGGAAGACCGAGCATCAGTGATAAAATGTGGTGGCGAAATCTTAATTTGTCACTGATTCCCATGTTATTAGTGGCCAAACTAATTTTCATCACTATTGCGTCGATTATTAGTGGCAAACTACTATATCGCCACAGGATGCACCTTCAGTGGCGAATTTAGTGATGAAACATTAATTTGTCACTAATAAATAGGTTAATTGTGACTAAATATTTATTTCCTCACAGTTTTGCCATCTACCGGTGACAAAATATTATATCACCACACGGTTCAAGGTCAGTGAGAAAATGTTGTGGCAAAATTGTATTTTGCCACTATTTACCATCTTAATTGTGACTAAAAAATTTCCCCCCACTATTAGTACATTAATATGTGACAAAATTTTGCTTCGCCACATGGTAGCTGATGACTGAGAAATTTTTGTGGCAAAATATTCTTTTGTCACTTGTTACCAAGTTAATTGTGAGAAAATAAATTTTCTTGTTATATAATATTTATATTAGTGATAAAAACATGTGTTCCGTATGATAAATAATTAGTGGCAAATATTGTATTATCATGGGTCCCACTTGTCAGTCAAACTACACCTTATCTTCTTCCGTTTTCTGCAGCTGCAATTACTGGACGAGCAAAATCCACCTTATCTCCGGCCGCCCCCAAGCTTAGACTTCGCAAGAGAAGAGCAAAAGGAAAGCATATTGATATAAAGTTCCCTAAAGAGTTTGCAAAAGTGTGTGGAGAACATGCTAGTTTATTTAAAAGTGAGATAACAGTTCTTGTAAGAACTGTACCACTCCAAGTGAAGAAGTGGAGGGACATGGATAAGTTTTATCCTGGTACTACTACATCTATTTGGAGAAAACTAAAGGTGACCTACTTTTCATATGAAATGAATATATTTGGCATGCATAGGTTATCATTGCATTCAGTGGCTGGTTATTACAATATATCTTTGCTGTACAGCAAAAGTTTCCTGAGCTTTCAGAAGAAGATAAAGATTGTGCCATGAGACAAGTAGAGAGTCAATATAATAATCGGCGTTACCGTCTACTTCAAGCTTACCGAAACAACAAGCCAAGGCCACAACATGTCTCACCAGAAGGTTGGCAATGGTTGATAAGGAATTTGTGGACGGATGATGATTTTCAGGTACATACAACTCATGTCCTAAATTACAGTGCTGCATAATTGTTAATGATACATTTATGCAATTTGTAAACCAGAAAAGGAGCAACCAAAACTCTATCAACAGAGGAAAGCAAGAGATGGGGTCCAAAGTAGGAACTAGATCAATTGCTCAAATCGCTTACGATCTGGTGAGCAAAATAGTTACTAGGCAGATTTTTTTCTATTACACATCGTTCTGTATTAGTGAATATATGCTTTTGTTATTCTAATGCAGCGACACCCAGAAACTGGTGAATGGCCTACTGCTATGCAAGTTTGGAAGGCTACATATCAAAAGGCTGATGGGACATGGTCCATTCCAACAGGTGAAGAAATAATGGTATGACCATATTACTTCCCTTCTTGATGGCATCTTTGGGTTTCACATTTGTCAATCTGTATCCTACCTTTTGAACTAGGATTAGGTGGAAGTGGTGTGTTTTTTGTATGAAAAAGTATGGTAGTAGAATTATGTATGACTCTTTCATGGTTATTATCTCTGCAATGTAGTCTCTGTATTGTTCATTTAATGAGTTGAAAAGTCTAGGCACTACGAAAAGTTTGCAGTATCTCTAATCATGAACAATATCGTTTTATTAAGCTGTTTGTAAATTTTATATATTATTTAATTTGTCTGTAATTTTCAATTATTAGATAACATGTTTGTAGATTTTTTTGAACAATATCAACTCTGAGAACATTTGGATGTTACACTATCCTACGCTAGTGTTCTTTGGCCGCTTAGAGTGTGATTGGTTGTGTTCGTATCCAGGAGCAGGCCCCTCGGGGGATAGCTTGGGTAAATACAACACTACCATGTTTCGTTGCTTGCATCCAGTAGAGGGTCGAGCTGAGATGATGTTTGTTTGCTTGCACGAGAAATTAGGCAAGTAAACACAATCACGGTAGTATTTGTTATATGCAACCATTTTTTATTGCTCTTAATTTATCTTACTCATGCTTAATATTGTTTGAAGTACATTAATATCACTTAAAATATGCTAATAATGTCCTTACCTAGTAACTGTTCGCATCTGGCGAGCCAGGCTCTGAAGAAACACCTAAAATCCCTGTATCTCGAGAGCTAGGCTAAGAGAGTTTTTGCATGAACAGAACTAGGCCCGTGGAGCCATACAACCAACTAATCATCTAACTTGAATCCCGTGAGCCTAGCTGGCATATATGCAACAAACCAATCATACCCTTATCATCTTGCATAGTTTTCATCATACCGAGATTTGATCCGGTGCTTCAAACTATTCTAGAGGATGTTGTAGACAATAATGTCTAATTTACTTACATGAACGTTTTTGCCTGTTGTGTAGTATATGGGTTCTTAATTAGTTTGTTTTTCATGCTTTGCAGACCAAACTACATGAAGCTGCTGGGATACATCAAGAAAAGATTTCTTCTGCGCCCGTGCCAATAGTGGAGCACTTCGCACTAGTTCTTGGTCGAAAGCCAAACCATTCACGTGGTGTTGGCATTCGTGCTGTAAACCGAGTGGCTGAGGAAAGAATCAGATTGCAGGTGCAAATTGAGGCTTCAGAACAGCGTGAAGCTGCAGCTCGAGCATGTGCAGATGCTGCTGAGCAACGTGCTGAGGCTGCTGAGCAACGAGCACAAGCTTTGGAAGGCCAAGTTTCCACGGTGGTCGAAACAAATGCACAACTGCAAGAAGAGCAACAATCCCAACGTGATGAGATGAGTTCTTTGCGTTAAGCACAGAGTGGAGAAGTTGCTCGCCTAGTGAGGGAACAACTTGATCATCAAATGGCTGCATTAATTGCACGCATTGGTGCCTCACAGCCTCCAGCATCTTAGAGTTTAAACACTTTAGTTGAATAATTATTGTGAGACTTTAAAGTAGTGTCAAGAGAGTTATTTTGAGGTTTGAGTGTTCTTAGTTTTATGTAATGCTTAATGCCAAATTTAAATTATTGAAATAAATATTATTGGTGCAGATTTGAAATAATCATATTGCTATAATGTACATTTGTTGAGCTATTTTTGTCACTACAACAAGGATAATAATGATAACTTTTTCGCCACAACATCTAATGTGTTTCACACAATTGAAACTTATCTTGTGACAAAACTTGTCCAGACTAAAATTTTCCTACAAATGCTATGCTTTTTTGTGATGAAACTATTGATACATTTTGTCTTGTCAGTTCTCACAAAAAGATAATTTTTTGTGACAAAGGTTTGCCACCGTAGTTTACATGTGAGGATTAGTTTGCATCACAAATGAAAAGTATTTGTGTTAACAAGTTACCACTTTTTCCCATACATATTGTGGTAAACAATTAGACACAATTATAATTTAATAGTGAGAACAAGCATCGACACGACAAACTCAAGTAATGGCGAAACTTCTATCACTAATATGTAGTCTTTAGTGACCACAAAATTTGTCACTTTTACAATGGTAATTGTGACAATTATATTGCCATAGATTCTGTATAGTTGTGGCAACTATTATCACCACTAAAAACATTATGAGTGGCATCATTTTTTGCCACTAATGCATATGTTTTTGTGACAACGAATGAGCCACAAATGGTCCCGTTACTAGTGACAGTACAATTTGTCACTAATGAGTATGGTCATTTATGGGAACAAAAATTCATCACTAGAGTATCGTGTGAGGTAGTATTTGTGGCGACTAGTGGCGATTTAAAATTCGCCACAAAGGCTTGTTTGTGGCGAAAAAATAAGCTTTTGTGATGAAAATTTTCGCCACAAAAACCCTTTGCCCTTGTGGTGCTAAACAATGTCGTACTCTTAAATTTATAGTTGATCTATATCAACATTCTATAAGGGATGAAACAGAGCTACGAGAAATAAGATATGAAGGGTGCTTCAATCTTAAAAATGAAACCACATAGGAGGTTGGTTTGTTTATCTTTGGATCTTATGGGATCACACAACAGCACTTCTTCTTTTCTTATAAAGAGAACATCACAGAGATGGACAACATGATCATCGAATATGCTTGAATGATTTATTTTGAGATTTGGGATAATCTCATCGTCTGATTGATATTATGTGATAATATCGATCGAAGATGTTGTAATATTTGTGTTGTCAATGCATAACTATTGTGGGTATCATATTGATGTATTTGATACTCGATAATATTTATGGATTTCTATATATTAGGCGAGAATCTCATTAAACTCTTGTCATATATAGATTGTACGGGAATAATTCCAATGTGGAATGATATGTGCCTAGTGGGCATTTGTACCACAAACTCTATAACTAAGGAAGCAAAATGTTCCTAGTTCTTATGACAAGAAGAGGGAATATTTTGGCCATCAATTGATGCGTTGCAATGATTGTTTGGTCTATTTTGCCACTATCATTCTTCCTTAGATACTGAGTTAGCAATTGAGGATATTTAATTATGTCCCAATTCAACTCGCATCTTACTAAATTATAGAGATATCCAAATGTATTTTCGTATGTGAACACAAAAGGACAACATTGGATATGGCATATAAGTAATGAGATAAGTCTCATTTTGGTTGTATTATGCATACAACCATCCCCATACAGCTAACATGTTGCGTGTAAGATAATTTTTCACACTTTGTTGATGCATTCCGGATTTGGAATGAACAACTTGGCCATCATACGGGATGAGGTGAAAAATTATTGGCAATTTTTTGGTCAAGATTTTCCCAAAGTGTGGATACGATAAGTGTCACAAGGGAAATAGATTTTAAGATCCTCTTATCTTAAAATTAGATTAAATGTCTTAGATTCCTTGATCATATTCAAGAGAATATGTGTGGGTCCAATACAAAGATTGTATGGACAGTTCAAACATTTCATGGTTGTAAAGATACATCTATAAGATAATTTAGAGTGTGTGAAAGTATCTACACTCAGACATGCATTTGGTAAATAATGGCTCTTGTTGTGAGCTCATTATCCTGAACACTACTAAATTTTTGTACCTACAATGACGATTGTTTGGTGTAACAAGAATTTAGTTACATATCCAAAAGGATAAATGGAATCTATGAGTATCACATCAAGGTCATAGCAGGACCATTGTTAGTGAATTGCTATTTGCCAACTTCGTGTTGGGGTCAGGTAGATTTACACACTCCTGATTTGAGATTATCTTCATATCCTCCATGTGCATTTAGTACGTGGGAATCCAAGAAGATTTCCTATTTACGTAAGATTGAGTACGTTGTATACGTACCAATCTCACCACCACAGCATATATTGATGGGTACACATAGGAAACTGGGGATCAATATGAGATTTCAATCTCTGTCAATTGTTAAGTATTTATATCTCTTATGGAGGATCTATTTACAACCCATATGCTGGTTTTATTTTGATAATGAGCATTTTCAGGCATTAGGGGAAGATTTGATGTACCATACATAATGCCAGGAAATTATTTGGAATGCATAAGACATTTCAAGCTTAGGATCACATACTAAATGTTGAGTTCAAAGAATTGTTGATTTGCATAATATTACAAATAAACTGCCAAATGCATTTACTGATTACTAAGGTGTCTTATAAACTTTTTAATTCGTTGCAAGTATGTGCCAGAAAGAGTGGTGTGAAAGTGCAATCAAGCCCTAATTATAAGTTTTGGTGATAATGATCATGCAATTAGAGAACTAATGAGATTTATCGAGATGACAAGCGGAATTTATATTCGAGGATGCTACGAAGCGGAGGAGCCCCCAATTATAAATGTTGATGGCTTCAAACTCAAAGGAGGTTTAAATTCTTTTATATTTTGAATTTGAGTATAGAAAAGTCGTACTATTAAGGGGCTCAATGCTTAAGCTAACATGTACTACCAAGTGCTCAAACATACACATGCATCCTCAGATTCACCGCCAAGATAGCCTAAACTTCAATCTTACCCTTATTGTCTTGGTGAGTGCGGCACTATCGCACTTGAAGAGAGACTTCGCCATGACTTAAGTGACCGTTGGAATGAGGGGTATTTATACCCATCCTCTTCCTTACCAACGGTTATCTTCTTTCTTCTGCTCATTCTAGCTCATCCAAAATAGAAAAGGAGCTCTCTCTCCCCCTCCATTGGTGATCTTGAGCCCTCAAGCAAATCCATTGATTTTTCTATCAGTCCTTGTGAGAAAAGGGTCCAAAACTTGATTAGAGAGCAGCTCCATTGATTCCTGAACTCAAAAGAGCACTTGGTTCATGTTTTGGCGGCGGTTGTGTTTGTTACTCTTGGAGCTTGGCTCCAAGCCGGCTAGAGCGTCGCCCGTGAAGCTTGCCAACTTGTGTGGCAGCCCAGGGAGGATTGTAACCATCTCTTAAAGCTAGTAAACTCACCCCTCATCTCAAGAGTTAAGCCTCTTCACTTGAGAACGAGGAAGGATTAGAAAGCCCTAAGCCTTAGTGGCTAACCTCAACAACATGGACATAGGCAAGCCTTAGTGGCGAGGCGAACCACGGGATAAATCATTGTCTCTTGTACTTGATTTACATTACTTGCATGTCATATTGTTGTTGAGGTGATTTCTAGGGTTTCTAGTTGATCTACTTGTGTGTAGTGTTCCTACTACTTCTAGCTCTCGATCTATGACTATCATACTGTAGTAAGTCGAGAAATTTTTTAATCTAAGTTTCCGTTCTTGATTTTGAGCTGTGACTCGAAGTTATCTGTAGGTGCTTGGCGGTGCGCTATTCGTCGGCAGTGCCGCCCGTCAAAGCGGTAGTGCCATGAGGTGAATTGATAAAAGTTTGAGTGTTTGTTTTGATACGCCTATTCACCCCCTCTAGGCCAACCGGAGATCCTATAAGTGGTATTAGAGCAAGGTTACCTCATATACGCTTCACCGCGTGAGGTATGGAGCACTGGAGGAGGAGTTAGTGGCTTGAAGCGGTGGATGTCGACACGGATAGCAGCAAGTGAAGCGTGTCGACGACAAGCAACACCACACTACCACATCTTGAGGCTACCGATGCGAAACAACTCTCAATGATAATGAGAGAAGAAGAAGCAAGGAGGCAAGAAAGCTAAAAAGAGAAGCAAGATAGAAGAAGGAGGAGGAGTGGTTAGAGGAGAAGAAGCAAAGGAAAGAAGAAAGAAGGCTCAAGAGAGAAGCAAGAAAAAAGAAGAAGAGAAATTAGGAAGAAGAAGAGAAGGCAACAAGTGCATCATCAAGCATATAAGTAGTTCCGAAGATGGAGATGATGATGAGTCATACCAAGTGTTGAAGGGGAACAAAAAGGAGAAGAAAGGAAAGGACAAGGCCAACAACAATAAATATGTCACCGTATCCTTTAACTACTCTTCTATTCCTATGACTAACCATGATCGGAGGTCTTTCATCAATTTGCCCGTGGGACTAACTTTGTCAAGTGGAAGCACTTGATGAGGGCCTATCTTATAGGTCTTCAACCCGGCATTTGGGAGATTGTTTGCAATGGATTTGAGTCTCCGGTTGATCCCAAGAACCCAACACTAAAAGAGAGATGAGAATCATTCACCTCAATGGTCAAGCCACAAGTGTGTTGCTTAGTGCCTTGGATGGTGATAAGTACAATAGAGTTATTAGAGTTGATGTTGCCAAGTAAATATGTTACACTTTGCACCTAGCACATGAAGGGGTTGACAAAGTGAGAAAGATAATGATTGATTTGTTGATGTCAAAGCTCAACCGATTTGTAATCTTGGATGGAGAGGGGCCACAAGAGATGTTTGATAG